AATAAGTACGCCACCACCGTCATGTTTGGTACGCAAAGTAGAAGTTTCTCTGTCTCGTCGAAAAACCACGTATCGTTTATCTATAATTTCGTTATTTAATATACCTTCACATAACCAAGTTTCAGTTAACACAATAATGTCAAATTCCGAATTTAAAATAGCACTATATACCTCATGAGTTTTGGTTTTAAGACCTCTAATGTTTTGATAAAAGACGCTTATACAGTTCATCAACTAAACGAAAGTGTAACTGAGTTAAAAAATATATTATATATATTAAATTTTTAAACAAAAAAAATGAAAAAAAAATTTTTAATAAATGGTATGGTTTTAAGAAATTTCGTTAAGGAACTCTAAATTCTTAACAAGTATTACATCACTGGACGGCGCTTTTCTTAAGTAGATGTTACCATTCCGCGACCAGACGAATTCGACGAGCAGCTGCGTGTAATGCCTTGGCTTCCGGGGTAAGATGTTCACATACGAAGACGGGCATTTTTTCACCTGCTATTCCCAAATGTGAAGAGTTCAGCTTATCAGACGGATGGCTTTTATTATAATTTATTATATTAGCTAAGAATTTATCTCTCAATAGGGGTGTTGCGAACTTCGCCAAAACAGTTCGTGGACGATTGTTCTCCTTATTCCACTTCGCAATCCGGGTGCATTTAACAATATGACCATCTTCCACATAGCTACCTATAGTTTTTCCTATTTGATGTAAAGTGTTGACTAAGTTTTCACCACGGTATTCAGGTATGCAATGAAATTCTAAATTATTTGCTCTTGTTTCTTTTTCCATAATAGTCAATCTGGAATTTATATTTATTTGATTTTGGCGAAGCTTAGAATTTTCATTTTTAAGGGACGATATTTCCTGCATTGCTTCTTCTAATTTTTTTTGTTGCTTATCGTACATAGATTGTAATATATCCATTTTATTTTTAATTTCCTGTATTCCACTTACTTCCAGCCTAATAGCTTTGAGGTCTGGGCTCACAGAATTCTCTAATATATTACTTATTTCGTCACGTATCAAGGATATTATGGTATGATTTACAGGTGTCTGCGTTTGTGTAGGAGAAGAATATATTTCATCATTTTTTGTATTTGGAGAGGCCATCAAGCTTTCAGTTTGGTTACGGCTCTGGCAAAATGAACATTTAAATGACTTCACGCTTAGGGATGTCTTCTTAAAAGACGTACTGGTAAAACCAACGCATTGATAGTGAAACAATGCCGGACAGGCTGTGCATTTAATCTTATCTTTTTGAAGTAGGGTCGTATTACATGAATTGCAAGACATGTTACTTGTACATAAAAGTTATAATTATATAACTTTCAATGTTGAAAATTAATCGGATATACTTGTTTAATTTGTATTCAATATAAATTTAATAGTGGGTATATTCGCTTACTTCTCAGCCCATCCAACGCGCTTTGCAATATACAGCTGCTATGGTCGCGCAAAAAAGGTCTTAAGCGCCGTGCATTTGAAGGCGCTTACGCGTTCATGTCAACACAGCTAGACAACACTTATTAAATTCTTGGAGAAAATATTTTCGCACAATATCTATAATTGTTGTGATTTATAACTTCACTATTTTATTGCACTAAATATTTAAAATCCAAGGCTTAACTTTAAACACTTTCTTTTAGCTAATTTAACTCTTATTTTCCGACAACTTTATTTTTAATTTAGACAGCTAACAGCGCGTGCGTTACGTTGCATGTTGCATTTTTTATTTGCATTTATCATTTATTTTTATTGCATGTATTGTGGACACCACTGGTTTTTTTGAATTACTATTGACGTGAAGCTTTAATGGGCCCCCCATATATCTTAATTAGCAAGCAGATTTATTTCTGCAGCATATGTTGTGAGAAAGATTTGAAGTCTCACCAATGATGAAACAGCTAGATTAGTTTATTTAAGTTACTTTCATAGCGTAATGTCTTATGGAATTTTGCTATGAGTAGCCCGACTGACATTGAAACGATATTTGGTTTTCAAAAAAGGGCCATACGGGCGATTTATAACTTAAAATGTAAAGATTCTCTCAAAGAAACATTTAAACGTAATATTATCTTTGACAACGCAATTTTGTTTATGAAAATGTAACGTATGTACATAAAAAGTTGATGAGAATCAAGACGTTCATACTTTAAACACTAGGAACAAATATAAGCCTGCAATGCCAGTTACTAAACTCCACAGAATTAGTAATTCATTAATAGGGCAATGTATACGCTTTTAAAACAAAATCCCAGAAAAGGTTGAAAGTTTGCCAACAAACATAAGTTTAAAAGTTTTATTAATGGAAAATTGTACAAAAATGCTTATTATAATATCAAAGAATACACGAATGAAAATAACCCCTGGGAATGAGGTGTTCGCCAACATGCTAAAACTCATATTAAAAATGCACAAAATTATTCTTAAGTTATATAATATATTTAAAAAAATATAATCTCGCTGGGTTTCTTGCGTAGTGGTAAGTGGTAAATAAAAAAAAATACTTTCAATAACAACCCAATCAATAACGACACAATCCGCCTGCTGCGGATATTCTATTTCGCTAAAAGACGGAATCCAAATGATAACAATTTATGGTTCATTTTAGAGGCAAGAACATTTCTAAGGTATCGAAGTATACTTGGCTACTTTTACACAGAATTGAGACAAACTTGTATGTAGAGGAAGTACGGAAAATTGTAGAATTTTTCTTTAGAAGAGATTATTTTGAAAATTAACAGGGCTGTTCCAGTTACAGTCACTAGAGGTTTCCATCTATATATCACGTAAGTTGTAATATCCAACGTAGAATGTATTCTACAAAGTATTAGCATTTCGAGTTAAATAAAAAATCACCTTTCCTAAACCCTTAGTATAACACGATGAATATTCAAATTTTAAGCATTTCACTATTAAATTATCACGCCAATTATCATTCCGTATAAACGATGAGATTGGTATTTTAATTGTGAGGTAGGAATTTCGACGGCTGACATTGAGGGGCAATCTATAGATAACTTGACGTACCTACTCCGCCATTTTGCTACCACGTCGCTGACTCAACAATTAAACGAAATTAAATATTGATTTGTGGCTTTCCTTGGAGGAGGCTTATGTTCAATAGATGACTTGTGAAGAGTTGTAATGACGATGATGATGAAATATTAATTTATGAGAAGAAAAGAATAATTGAAGCTTTTAACTAAGTCAGTAGGTATAATTATTAATTACCGTTACCGTTACAGTTTACAGCCTATTAATTTACATAGGCCTCCCCATAGGTTGCCTCATAGGGGGATATTTACCATAGTTGCCAAAATAGTCAAACAGGTTGGCAACAGCAGTTTATTTTTTATTTTTTGTCGTTATTAGGAAGACGCTGCTACCCATCTCCTAATTTGTTTCCCTGTGTCGCCTCCTACCACACCCACGGGGTGATATAGGGTGGTGGATATTCTTACACCGCCACTACACGATAAATTATTATTTATTACAATGTAATATAAAAAGAAAAAAAAACGATATTTATATGTGACATTTTCTCACTATCCCACCCGATATGGCACAACAGTGGCACATGTACAAGCAGTCCAGTCTGCTCGCGATCATTTTCAGGATACTTTTGTCGATTGTTGTTGAAGGTAAATTCTTTTGTTACACAATGGCGCTGCCCAAATTTAGACACTATATGTGTATTGTGTGGGATACAAGCTACCAATGAATATTTTATTTTCATGTAATCAATATGAAATCAGCCATTCCTTGCGCAGTCCCAGACACTTTTTGTGTCCAGTTGCTTCCACTTGTCACATACCAACCGCCAATCAAAAAGTATTCGGCATTGGTAACTGGAAACTTTAAGTCGTCAGTTGAAGACACAAGCAACACAAAGCAAATTTCCTTACAATTTTACGACGCTGAAATTGACGTGGTTGATTTGTCTGTAAATATTGACAATAATATAATAATAACAATTCAACAAGCCAAGGTAACGTTCCTCCATCGACATCCAAGGTGATACTGACCATAGACTAATATATAATACTGGAGAATACTGACGGAAAACAAGCAACGAATTGTTACCAGTGACCAGATGTAGCAACCGATGTGTCCGATTGCCGCTAGCGGACACAGCGACTACAGTTTCTTGTGATGTGTGTGCCGTGTCGGTAACAAAGTGTGTCCATGTTTGCGCAGCGCCTATAATTGAGATGTTGCGTTTTAAATAAAGGTTTCTAGAGTATTATGTAAATGCCTGTATAATTTTTTGCACATTTTTAACACTTCAAATTTTTCTTCTTATAGGAATATCTGTAGTTTTATTTATTCATATCTAATCTAATTATATAAAATATAATCAATATTACAGAAAGAAACATTAACCCTTACATTTTCTTAACCACTATGAAACCTCAAAGTGGTGCCGCCCTGGCGGTATAAAATACCTATTATACAAAAAACATACAGTCGACTTAAAACCTCCGCCTTTTTAAGCTATACATGACGAAATTTCTAAATTCATTACATAAAATCCATTGAAATATGAAGGAAAACTTTTGCAATTGAAAAGTTTGTCAAAAAACAATTGCTTACCGGGAAAATCGGACGTTGTTAATACCCATTCTATGAAGGTATGAAGTAGAGATGTTACGGAGGTTCGATTCCGATTCCGAAAGTTCGGAACTTCCGATTGATTTCGCACCTGCGATTCCGATTTCGGTTCCGTTAATTTTAATCGGAAGTTATATCGGAGGTCTGTCACAGCGGCGGCGACGGCCGCAATCAGCGGGTACAAACAAGTTAATACTTGTCACCCCGGGAACCACCCTCCTCCCGTGCAGGTCGATTACTCATTAACTTGATGTTTTGTTTCGTATTTGGCAATTGACATGTTATAGTTCGCACTTCATTTATACTTATCCGAGTTTTGATTAGTTTTAGTAGTTTTATATTAGACGTGTGACAAATTTATTTGAATTAGACAATGAAGCCAAAATCAAGTGTCGTTTGGAATTATTTCAATGAAGTTTCTGGGAATACGGCAAAGTGTAAACTATGTCAGAAGATATATTCACGAAAGGGAGGTACGACTACTTCGTTAAAAAGTCATTTAAAGTTTGTGCATGCCACTGAATTGGAAGAATTCGCAAAATTAGAAACTGAAAAGAAAGATACAGTGCAGCCTTCGACTTCAACGCCTGTACAAGAGGTAACAAAACAAATTACTCTCAAGGACACTTTGACGAAGAATCAAAAATGGTGTAGTTCTGACCCTAAATCAATCGAAATAGAGAAATTGATTTCTGAAATGATTTCTTTGCAAGATCTCCCCTTCACTTTCGTGGAAGGTATTGGATTCAGACGGCTTACGCATTTCATAGCGCCGAATTATCCGTTAAGGGGAAGCCATTTTTTTACCGAATATATTTGTTGTGAGTTATACACAAAATTAGCAGAAAAGATAAAGATTTTGTTAAAACAATTTGAGAAAATCTCATTTACAACAGATATTTGGAGCAACCCAAGTTTGAATGTATCGTTATTAAGTCCAACAGCGCACGGAATAGATGAAGATTTCAAGAGGATAAAAGTTATTTTAAAATGTCACACATTTCACGAAAAACATACGGGAAACCTAATCCAAGAAAAAAAATTATGAAATGTTAATGGAATGGGGCATAACAAATGAGAAAATTCATTGTTTCATTCGAGATTCTGGATCTAATATGTTACGAGCAATGAGACTCGCCGCTATACCTGATGTCAATTGTACGGTACATCAGTTACAACTATGTGTGTGAACTATGTTAGATTGTGATGAACAAATCAAAAACTTAATAACGAAATGCCAAAAAAATGCGACGCAATTTAATCACCCCCAAATTGCTCAATCGGAATTGCATAAAATACAAAAGGAACAACTTAACCAAGATGTTTTAGGTGTGGTGCAGGAGTATAATACGCGGTAAGTTTTAAAATAATTTTTTTTTTGTTTTTTATCCCTGTTCCCTACCTATCCTGGGTTTCTTGCTGGTTCTTCCCAGGACAGAGGTATTTTCCGAACCAGTGGTAAATAAAAAATGACTTTCAATAAGTATTATGTAATAATCAATATTGAATAAAAATCAATCTATTCTAATCTATTCTATCCGTTTGTTACGCCTTGTAGCCAAACCACTGAATCAATTTTGATAAAACTTGGTTTTAAACATGCATTTTCATTAAATAGTATATATTTATAATTAAATTTGATATATAATTTACTTATATTTTATTTAAAAGAGTTAAGAATTAAATTAATTATCTTGTGTAATAAATAATCGCGCAATCCTCTCAAATTACTACCATTATTATTTTAATCAATTTAACTTTTATGGCTCAATACTAACACATTGTTATTCTTATTTAATTTTACTTTTTTATAGGTGCAATAGCACATTTTATATGTTGGAACGAATGATTAAAATACAGGATTCACTTTGCTTTTACGCAAGTAAACACAATATCCCACAAATATCTCCTGAAGAATGGCTGCAGCTCAAGAAACTATTTACCATACTTCATTCTTTTGAGGAGATTACACGGAACATGAGCGACATTAACACAAGTATCTCATCAGTAATTCCGTTAATACATACATTAAAGCATTCGTTACAAATAGAAGACAATAAGCCAGACACTAATGAAATATTTAAAACTGTAATAAAATGTACTATCGACCAAATGAATTCAAGATTTGAAGACCATCATTCTTATAAATTGTTTGCAATAGCTACATATCTGGATCCTCGTTACAAAGGAAAAATTTTCAGCGAAGTAATTAAGGAAGAGGTTGAGTCCGAATTGATGAGTTTATTTAATGGTGGAAATAAATCTGCAAATGAGGTTCAAAATATTGACGTTCCTGCATAAAAACGGGCAAGCTTGGCATCACCAGCATTTGGTCAATCTACCAATAATTGTAGCAATGTCCAAACGCTCTTATCAAATATATTGAGTTGTGATGATGATGATAATAATACATCCGACGAACATGCAGTTTTGGACAATTTTTTGTATTATAAATTTGATCAATGTCTTTAATAATTTAAATTAAGTCGGTTATACAAATTTTTTAATTTTTTATTATATTATATTTTATTAGACCTGCCCTTAACACATCTCTTTTCTGCCACCACCTTCGGTTCCGGTACCGATACCGATTCCGGTTCCGATAAACAAGATTTAAAAACTCCGCTTCCGAATTCGGTTCCGATATAACCACTTCCGTAACATCCCTAGTATGAAGCAACGTCCCGCTTAAACTTTTAGCGAAGCCATTCTTTACAGTTCGAATAACTTTTTTTATATATATTCAGACTTATAATACGCGAACAATTCCAGTTCAATCCCCGGCAACGCACTTGCTTGATAGTGAAGGATTTGTGAAGTGAAACTGTAAAACTTATTTACAATCGTTATAATTTGAAACTCGATAAAACGAAAAAGCGACACTAAAAAGAGACAAACATATACATCTATAGGATTTAGCGTGTACATACACGAATACAGTATATAGTGTTTATTATAAATTTATTTATACTTTAATTACATAAACCTTACAAATATCCTATTTAAGTTTGGTTTTCTGAAGTTTTCACTTCTACCGCTTGTGAACTGCACGCATGTTTCTTTTTAGTTACCTTGTAGTTTATAAGCCAGTGCTGGACTATTATTCCACCTGCCAGTAAGTGGTAATGAGGCCCTAGATTATAAATCGAACTTTCTTAGTGTAACAAAAGCTTATTCACTCTTCCCTTGATGATATGCAGATTGCAATCTGCCGGAAAGACAGACGCGAACAAAACGAAGACACAAACCGTTTAGTATATACTTGCTCAATGGACTCGTAGACCGCGTGATTGTCCGATGATCGAGAGGGGAGGGAACAATTTAGGTATGTGATGTAAAGTCCTGCGGACATTATACGAAAATACATCCCGTCGAATACCGAGAGGCTGGTTATTCTGCGCCTGTGCTCGAGGCTGACAAGATTGGTTTCACCAAAGCAAGGTTACTAATGAGATTTTTAGTCGGCTTCTCTCCCCACTGAGTCCAATTTATAAAAAGTTTTGGGAAGAGCGTTTAAAATAAAAATTAAATCGGGCATTCGCAGCAGTCGGAAGATATTGATAAATAACTCAGTGGTTGACGTGGTCGCTCTATCTCGGAGCTGCTAGAGCTAATGCAGGCCTCGATTTTCGCCCTTATTTTTTACAAAACTAAAATGAGAAACAAACTAGCAGTCTAAAAATAGATAAGAGGACGATTCCTACTCAGACGATCTCATAGGCAGGAATTAAGTCCTACCATCCAGTATTTCATTCTAACGTTTCAGTTTCAAATATCCTAAAACATGTAAAATCGGTATAAGACTATATATTTATTATAATAAAAATGAACAAAACTATTTAACGAATTTTTAATAATATTCGTTCCTACCCTTGGCAAGTGCATTTTTGCTGCGGGGCATTTTTTATAGGATAGGGTGACAAACGAGCACACAGTCCACCTGATGGTAAGTGGTTTATATATGTCTAAGGGCCACAGCAACTGTATACATCTGTCCTCGTTTGCGAATCAATATGCAGATGCGTTGTCACCCGTGAGGACTAAGATGGAATGCCTCTTTTCCAGTAAAAAGGATCTCCGGTTGTCTACACTCACCATACTAAACACAGCAGTGTTAAGCTGCTATTTAACGCCGGTATTCTGGGAGAGCGTGGTCCTTCCCCGGTCGAACCGATCCATTCGTGCTACAAATATACTACTAATATAGATGCGGCATGACTCTACCACGTAAAACGTATTTTGACCATCAATTTACTAGATGGTAAGTAGAGTTGTCGTCCAAGACAGCAGTCGCGCTGCTTAGGAGTAGATTATACAAGTTTTTTTTTTTATAAACTCTCGGTTCGAGTTTGATTAAGAATCAAATGCAGATGCTCCGAAACTGTTGAGTCATGCCTCGTCACCATCATTGCCTACCACTTTATGTCGGAATTCTGGGGAGCGTGTTCCACCCCTGTTCGACACAATAAATTCTTGCTGCGGGTATCTAATGCTACAGCATGGCATCACTACGTTAAACATGGAACAACAACAACAAAACAGAAATTGAGGATGATTTGTAGATATAACTTTTAAACCTACACAAAATGCTAGTCGGTCCCTGGTGCATACAACTGTAGGTTATAACTGTAAGTGAAATTGTATTTCTTGCCAGCTCTTCTCTGAGAAAGCCTTGTTTTCCGAGTCGGCGTAAATTTAGACGCTCATAAAAGCTTGAATGCATACCTTAATTAAACAAGATTGACTTTAACCTTGAAACTCTTCTTGTTGTACCTACTTTAACAATTAAAGGATAACCGTAGCCAATAGTGGGGCATGCTGTATTTTTACTTTTTACCCTAGAGGGCAATGGGACACACGTGAGGTCTTTCAGCCGATTCGTTAATCAAATGCCTATCAAAAATCACATTTTTCTTGAAACTAGTATCCTACTTTAAATAGATCGTTGACTAACAATTAAGGGACATTATTTTCGCTTTTTTTAAAAAAAAAGACGTTATCTCCACACTTGTTTTTATACGTGGTAGAGCCATGCTGCAGCTATATTAGTGGTATAGTTGTAGCACGAATGGGTCGGCTTGACCGGGGAAGGACCACGCTCTCACAGAAAACCAGCGTAAAATAGCAGCTTAACGCTGCTGTGTTTCGTATGGTGAGTGTAGAGAACCGGAGACCCTTTTTACTGGCAAAGAGGCATTCCATCTTAGTCCTCACGAGTGACAACGCATCTGCATCTTGAGTCTTTATTGAGGATAGATGTAGATGTCTATGGGTCGCAGTGGCCACTTACCATCAGGTGGACTGTGTGCTCGTTTGTCACCCTATCCTATAAAAAAAAACTTTTCACTTTCCTCTCACACACCTTTACTTTTCTTCTGAATCGTAGGGGCAGTTTACATACAATCATTCAGAACCGGAACATTTTTTTGTACGCCATACAAATACTTGTTGCGTGCGGGATTCGAACCCGTGGCCATTAGCGCTGTAACTCATTGCTAAACCACTGCGCCATGGAGTCGTCATCAAATCATAATAATCATTATCATCATCATTACAGCCCTTCACAAGTCCACTGCTGAACATAGGCCTCCCCCAAGGAATGCCACAAAACACGGTCCTGAGCCACCTGCATCCATCGACTTCCTGCATGTCTTATGGGGTATGCTCTACACTTCGTCCGCCGGTACGAGGCCGCTACTCGAGAACCCTTTTTCCCCATCGGTTGTCAGTTCTTCGAGCTATATGACCGGACCATTGCCACTTCAGCTTACTAATCCGTTGGGCTATATCGGTCTAATGCGGATATCCTCATTTCTAAGTTTTATCACGCAGAGAAACTCCGAACATAGCCCTCTCCACAGCTCGCTAAGCAACCTTGAGCTTCCTCATCCGGCCAGCAGTGAAGGACCACGTATCAGTTCCATAGGTCATCACTGGCAACAAGCACTGGTTGTATAGTCTCGTTTTAAATTTTGAGGTATACCTCCAATGAATAAAAATATACTTACTATATAAATAATTTTATTAGTAAGTACATGAATGTCCAAAATAGTCATTTTGTTTTGTATTATATTAAAAGTAGGATGAAATATAATAATATGCAGAAAAAATGTTTATGTTGCCGTTAACACAGGTAAAATAAAGTGTACATACACATATGTTTTTTACATACAAAACGTAATAATTCAAAATTAAAAATTTTGTACAGCTGACTTCAATATAAGTTATTAAGAATAACTCAGAAACTATTGGCTTGACATTGATCAAATTAATATGGGACCACACGAGAAGTACCAGCTTTCAAACAAAAAAAGAATCATTGAAATCGGTTTACCCAGAAAAAGTTATGAGGTAACACACATAAAAAAAAATATATACAGTCGAATTGAGTACCGTCTCCTTTTTGGAAGTCGGCAGATAACCAATTCAATCGTCGAATTTCGAACGCAGGCGAATGAAGTATTTTATAAATAAGTATCGACTCAATATAAATTAATATAAACCAGAGCGTTGGATCCATTTTGCATGACAACGTCCAATTTTGATCTCGAATTTCATAGGAAATAACGATCTAGCAGATGTGTTTGATCACTGCTTTGTCATGCGAGATTTTTATAACAACATGAAAATGTTTATTCAACGTTCCTGTATTTAGTATGGAACGTTCAACTGACGTGTAGATATGTTATATCTACACGTCAGTTGCAGAAGTTAACACGGAATTATAACATGTTATTTTCAAGAAAACACATTTCAATTTAAAGGTACTAAAAGGAAATTGATTATCTAGAGTCACACTTCAGTGTTGGATCGTTTGTTTTATGAAGGATATCTACACTGAAATTAGGGTTGTCAGATGGTCGGAATTCATCTGGAGTCTTCCGTCATTTTAAATGATCTCCAGACTCCCGATAAAACTCAAAATCTCCAGACAAACAGCTTGTCTTCACATCGGAGCTGTCTTTGATTTAATAAAAGCTGAGTTAGTAATTAGACTGAACTTTGAAGTAAATTGTTTGAATTTTAAAACTTTTCTGAATACTAATAAAAGATCAAAGAACCTAAAAATTACGTGTTCTTAAATATAAATTAATAAGTATTTATTAATAAGTATTCTTAAATTAATTACATATCAACAATGTTATGTCTTTTTGTAGCCTCTTAATTTAAAAAATAACTTTTCGATTTTACATTTTTATTTATAAGTAATATAATATTCATTTCGCCTAAAATGTCGTGAACATTTTCAAATCTTGTCCATATATTTCGGTTTTCCGATCTGACATTCCTAACTGAAATCG